CTACTGAACCGGTTTAAATGAGATACAGGTACAGAGATAGTCTAGAGCCTGAGAAAGGATATAGGCAATTTTTTTTTTTTTGGAAAAAGGTTAAAACGAGTCCGTAAAGGGGATAGATATTTATTTAAGAGCTTCAACGCGAGCGAAGCCGCGGGTGAAAAACTATTGTCTTCATATTCCGTTTTGAGTGGGTAATTGAATCTTTTAAATAATGAACTTCTTTAAAAGATTTCTGTTCCTCAATTACTTTTTCATCTTTACCTCCATATTGAACAAAAGGCCGTCCATCATTTCTTGTAGCACATTTTCTAACGCTTTCTCTCTGTTCACATTTTCTAACGTTCGACTATCTGTACTTCACGAAGACGCGTCTCTTCTACTACTCTTCTGATCCTCTTCTACTGCATTGCTGGCAGTTCGTACAAACGAGTTAGAACTGTCGGATTCCGGTGGCTTAGAACGACATGCTGAGCAAACCAAAGAGTTTTTGTAGTTCGATGAAACGCTTTTGTATTTTTTATCTGTGATACTAACACACACAAAATTATATTCCCAGAAGAAGCTTGGAATATCAAAATTCTAGGCGCTTCGTGGCTACGCTAGGCGTATTGGTTAGTTTCAAATAAATCAAATTAATTTTCATATTACATCAGATTAGCCATGAATAAAATATGATTCTTTTTCTTTATTCTTTGTTTATACGCTTATTTTATATGCCTGTTTTGTAGCTAATACCAATTTTTCTGGAATTTCTATTAGTTTTTTGGATACTAAAAGAAATGTTCCCCGTATGGTTTCTATAATATGTTATTTTTAAAGAAACCATTTAACCATCATGAAACATTCACTTATGACTAGTACCAAAAATGTTCGCCATCTCTAAGGCAACACTGTAACTTTATTTTAGTTAAGCACAATTCAATTTAATGTAATTTAGAAAATAAAATTTTATCCATGATTATTTTATTAACCTGAGCTTTTATCTATGTTTCAGTCTATTTTGAGTGTTTTTTTATTATTGTCTATTACAATAGAGCAAATATGTTTATAACAGCAGAAATACAAAGAAAATTAAAATGAGTCCGCGACTTTAACAATATTCATCACACTGATTACAATTACAACTTAAGATTGTTACCTAAGCCCACAGGCACAACACACGATAACCTTAAACAGTCAATTAGTTCACTTACCATTAAGTCTATATATCACTCCAAACGTTTGAGTTATCATAAGGGCCAAGAAGAACAGACCAACTCTCACCCATCGCGTCATTTTTTGACATATAAAAACAAAAATTTATCACCCAAAATTCTTAGTGTAGATAAACATTACAAATTAAAACAAAATAAACGAAGATCTGCTGTTCAATGTCTAGATGAAGACCACTCTCATTACTTGCTATTCACACTACTAGAGAAGACGACGATTTAAGTGATAGACGTCAGTATTTTTTTTGTGTCATTAGTATTACTTCACTAACACTAAGTGACAAATCGTATAAAAGCTACACAATAGTATGATGATTTTATGGTGGTACTGTTTTTGTATCATTATTTTTTTTTTATTCAAAAACATTGCCCTTACTTTAGGATAGCATTATCCTGTGTTGTAAGGACGTTTTACGAACATAAATTTCACGCGGACAAACACCCAGATGAGAAACAACTATCTGTGGGTCACACATATAGTTGTCCCATGTGGGAATCGAACCCACGACCCCCGACGCCGAAGCCAATACCTTGGCCACTGCGCCACGGAGTCATCAAATATTACATAATATTCGTTCATATATAAGCTTGTTTTCGTGAACATGTTTTTTATTGTTATTACCTAAAAAAAGTGTTGCTTTAGAGCCAACCAATTAAATATTTTTCAAAAATTTCATTAATTACACCTAGCATTTAAAGAAAATCACTCACCAGCTTGCGAAATGCTAAGTTATTAAGTGGGAAGGAAAGTGTCACAATGACCTATACAGCGTGTCGTTACCACCGCGCCAATAAATGAACACACATATAGAGGATAACTTTTTAAAATTGTATTAAACACTTACATTCTTCAAACATCAGTATTTACCGAGTTATTAAATTTTCCTAAACCAACAATTTTAGAACACCCTTACGTATAAAACTGTAACGTAAAGTTCATTTGTAAAGGTCACAAAGCATATGAATGGGTTGAATGAGTTTAAAAGAGACAAAACATACTGTTAGAAGTCGAGGCTTATAATGCGACGCTGTGGCGCGAGTTGTATAGGATGTTACAAATTTTGTTTCTTTTTTACTTAATTAGTTTGTTTGAAAAATATTTTTTTATGATTATTGGCAAGTAGCTTTAGACGTGTGTTCATTTATTGTCGCGATGGTAACGACACGCTGTAGACAAGTCTAGTACTTGTGATTCAATGTTAATGTTTTATTAACAATAAATGAACAAATAATGTACATTCATAAGCAACACAGTATACTGACAGTTTTACCCATATACGTATATAAAACAGAATCTATGTGTGTATGTATGTTCACCTAAAACTCGAGAATCGTTAGCCCAATTGACATGAAACTTAGGACATTTATACAGCGTGTTGTTACAACCGCGACATTAAATTAACACACTTATAATGCTACTTACCAATAATCATAAAAAAACACAAAGTTTAATAAAAAAAATCATAATAAAAAAAAATAATTTTCAAACATATTAATTACATGAAAAACAAATAAAAATTTATAACATCCTATACAGATTCATATATTCAGACTTTTTCATTCATTGCCACGGCGTAGCGTTACAAGTCTCTCCTTCTAACAGTACGTTTTTTTCTCTTTTAAATTCATTTCACCCATTCACATCACGAACATAGTTACGTTAGTGGATAGGTGGCGCTGGCGGCATTGATATTTATCACTTGAAGACTATGTCGAATTGATATACAGTTTACTGTATACGTAAGATTTTTTTAGGTGACGCGAAGCGCACCGAGCAATAGATAGTTTTTTTAATAAAAGTATAAATTCATGAGTAATTGGTCATGTCAAGTAACACTCACTATAAAACGCAACAATTAATTTATTTCTTACTAATGATTCGATCTCGTTTCACTGGGCACGGTTTTTAATGTACTCATCAATTATTTATCGACCTTGAACGTTATCTAGTGGTGTATTCATTTAAGTATTGTTCGTTTTAAAACTTACAACATAAAGGTTACAATACACATTAGTTTTATATTTTTTGATTTTACTATATTTAGTAATAAATCATTTAATAGTTATTAAATAACTAATATAATTTAATCTAAGCCTGTTGAATATCGTTACTTTTAAACTATTAGAATTGAAAGTGTACGTTAGAAAAGCTGTTTCTTTAACATATGTTTCTCTACGTAGTTCCAAGCAGCGTGATGGAAATTGACTGCCTGGATCAATTTTAAAACATGTAGAAAAAGTACGAAAAGATTGTCACCGCTGTGGGAATCGAACCCACGTCTTCGGCATTCGCGGCCTGACGCTCTAGCCACTGAGCTAAACGGCTGATAGCCACAGCGAAAATCTTAACGCCTTCTTTCTACATTGTTATTTAGCATTTGAAGCAATGCTTGGCGCATCTATTGTTATATCCTTTCCAGCATACAAACAATTTCGAATATATAACAATTTCGCTGTGGCTATCAGCCGTTTAGCTCAGTAGACGGTTCACCTGATGGTAAGTGAATACCGCCGACCATGGACATTAGCTACACCCGAGGGTTCCAGATGCGTTGGCAAACTTTTGAAGTTTGGGCTCCGGCTACCTCACTTACCAGACGAAACGCGAAAGTATTATACTTCGGTTGTTGTTCCACTTTACGTCGGTCTTCTGTGAGGTCGTGGTACTTACCCGGACGAGCCTGCCCATTCGTGCAACAGCCGAGGCTGCTGCGTGGCCCTACCACAGTTGATGATATGTGATCGTCATTTATATTCAATCCCGTGAGTTTTAGGCACGAATCCAAAATACCGTCTAACAGATCGTCAATAAGTTAATTACCATTAGTATAATATGCTTATATATCTGAAGTTAGCCTCATAAATATAAATCAACTGGCTTATTTGCATTAGGAGCATGAATAATGATTCTGGAAATTGTAAAAACATTTCTTTTTTGTTAATAAGGTATTCTAGTTAAAATAAAATCGCGATACTGGCAGTTCGTGCTTAATGGCTGAATTCGCGAATTCAAATCCTAATAGCTTACTTTCACCGATTCATATTTTGGAAAGTAAGAAGTACGGTAGATTTTTTATATATAGACTCCTCGTTGTTATACATAGACGACAATTTTGTTATGTACACATTAGTATTTATATTATAGATATTTATAAAAATATCAATATCGGCTTCGATATATCGAAAAAAAATATAGATATATATCGGTCAAATTTTCAGTTTTAAAAAAATAATGTATTTAGTTCAGTCTGATTCAATAATATGTAATAGGAATTTTTATACCTATATTCACATTATGTAAATGAATAAGAAATTTTAATAAAACGTTAATTATATATTCATTTTAATCAAATTTATTTTATTAATCTAAATTTCTACGTATGTTATTTATAAACTGATTACTTTTTTATATATAATATGATAAAAAAAATGGTCACTTTATAAATAAACGGGACATTGATTTATAATGAAAATAAACATAAATTTTTAATTTTCTTTATTCCGAAAAGATTAAAAATTAAAAGATACAAAGATAAAATCAACAACTTGAACATTAAGGCGTTGAAACCAATTAAAAGTCAATGTATCAATAATTAAAAAATATAAAATAAATACAATTATTGATTGTTTTTTATCTTAGATCATACGTAATTTTAAGATAGATTTAAAGTTTTAAATATTGATAAATAAAACATGCTTCTTAATAATTTAAAATTTTCTTAGTCCCTTTTATCGTCTACGTTGATTTCATGATGTGCAACCTTCGCTGGGGATTCGAAGCATATCTTAACGATTTGGTTCATCGGTGCTTCCAATATCAGCCAAAAAGCGGTCGCGACCATAATAGCGAGAACCACCATTCCGATAAGGGATACCTAAAATATCAAATATTTTATTAGTCTTCACTTTCTATAAAACTTGTCTTATAAATTGTCACACAGATTTGTGTAAGCTTGAACAAACATAAGTAAAACTTTATAAAAAAACTTAAGTAACAGCCTATAAATGTCCCACTGCTGGGCAAAAGCCCCATCTGTACAGGTTACAAGCCATAGTTCACCACGCGGCCCCACTGCGGATTGGCAGAGTTCACATATTTTCCAAATATTTTTTGTTGTTATTTCGAAAATATGCAGATTTTCACCGCAGAGCACGCGATAAGTCAGCACTTAAAATTAACAATTTCATTGGTGCTGGCACCGGGAATCGATCTCAACAGAATAAAACTTCGTGCATAAATAAATCCCTACTTTCGTGATAAAATCCAATTTGACCATGATTATAAAGACCACTTACCACCGAAAATAGTGATATTTTCATCAAGGAGGTTGAGTTCCCAAACCACCAGCGATATAAGGTCGCGTGTGATACGTATGCCGAATAGGAAACTCGTGCAATCCACGCCCAGCCGTTCCATTCAAAGAAACCACGATATGTGTCTACAAAATTCGATGCAAATACATTAATGCCACTATTGATAATTCTGTTTCCACGTGATTACATGAGATGATAGATGTTGGAAGGTCAATTGGTCAAAGGTGTTGCGGGTGTCATTGCAAAAACGGACGTTGGATTCAAATTTAGAGTGCTTGCTAGTAAGAAAAAAAAAAAGGAGAAGGGTTCAGTGAATATTATTAAAATCTTTTACTTCCAAATTGTGCTGTTTGAGATTCCTAAACGTAAGAAGAAAAAAATAATATTTAAATATTAAGTAATATACTCTATACGCAACAAGCAGTTATGTACAAAACAATAAAATTACATGAATGATCGTTTATTACTTAATCTAAAATCAAAGCCAAGGCCATTCTACAATTCTAAAAACTTGTAAAATATCAATTAATTTCATCCACCCAATATTTTAGATTTTGCTGCTATACTTCAGCAGGGAAATCCGCTAGGACCAGTACTTTTAATTTAGGAATTCAAAGTATTTCAAATTTTAATCCTAAACTTAATGTTTGATACCTCGAATTAAATACCTTCAAATGGGATGGAATGATTTCTCTTTCAGATAAAATAACTTTTACTCAAAATTTGTAATTATGTAAGAGATGGTCACTAGTTATGGTTGTGGTTTATGGTTTCCTAATAATTACATATTTTAAACAACTTCAATTAACTTCTTTTGCGCTTTTGTTATTACCACGTTCAAAACCGCTTTGGTTTTAAAAGATTAAGTAAATTAAAGTTCTTTAGATCATGTTAACAAATTGTTTTCACTAAATTCGCATATTACTATTAAGCAAGCGTTCTTGACACCATGTCACATGGACTAGATTTATTAGGTGATATGTTGTGTGAATTTAGTTAGATTTAATGGCAACATTAGTTGGCAACTACCTGACTAACTAACCTGGCAAATCCAGGTGTCCAATAAAATTATTAATTATAATTAGCATTACTCATTTAGTTGTACTGTACGTAAAAAATATACTATTACCTAACCATCTATGTACCAACAAGGCAGTCGCCAAACAGAAGTACAAAAAATACATATATAGACTATTATTATTTATGTTATCATATAGACGAAAATCCATACTAATATTATAATTAAATTTGGTACACCGATAGTCTAGACTGAGAAAGGACGTAGACTATTTTTTAATTGAAAAAAAGTGTTGTAAAGGGTTGAAAGATATTTATTGGAAGGCTTCAACGCGAACGAAGCCGCGGGCGAAAAGCTAGTTTCAAATAAGGGATGTTATTTTGCCAACGAAAGAAAACTTGGATTCCGCCACTGGACCTAGCATCTGATTCTTCAATTTCCGCACTCACTACCTACTGTCTTCCGTAACACACCCAAAAAGATACGTTAACGTTCAAAATTGTAACTCACTTTCTAATTTGAAAACCATTCCAATAACAAGAGCTACGAAGAGGGCGGCCAACAAAGGTCTTGCAAACATTTGGAACAGCATTCGGAGGAAAAGCGGCACTTGCGGCCCGTCGTTAAAGAACACTTTGTTAAATATTATGATTCCAATGCCCATCGGAATTGAAGCCCAATAAAGCACTACAAATTTCTGTAAAGAAGGGTTCTTCTAAATATAATAATAAATATAATTATTAAATGGCAACATCATCTGTTATAACTCCGCCGCCCGTGGACATTTACAACACCTGTAGGATTGCAGATGCGTTGCTAATCTCCAGATTATATTCAAACATTATAAAACTATAAGTATATTTGTATGTTTGTACTATTTACCAGTTTAAGTTATTCCAGTAACGCAATCACACTTCCATTTATGCAAACAGAACCTACTGAACAGGTGTATCTAATCTAGAGATATAAAGATGAATAAAAGGAACTAGAAAGACATTTGACAATGCTAGATAACAATTTGATGATGTAAATAGTAATATTAAAAGCTGGATTCCCAAAACAATAAAGTGTGGTGACCCAACACAACATTCCGAGGTATAAACTCGGCCATTATACTGCTGAGAGATTTCTTGCTGCGGGTCGTGGATTTGAATCCAACGGATTTGAATCTCGGCATTTCCCCTGTGACATTTTTGAAAGTTAGTGCCACAGGATACTAGAGAAATCTGTGAATTTATTAAAAATCTAGTTCTGGGACGTGAAGTTATACAACCACAACCTTAAACTTGTTTACGTCGCATTTATTCTTTTGCCAGTGGTGCAAGTAGATGCCAGTGATTATTCCGATTGTATAGTTGGCTAAGTTGGTATAACTGTGTTTATAGAGGAATTCAAATGTTGGCTCATCTACGGCATAGTTTCGCAGAGACCTGAAAAAGTATTCGTCGTGAAAATATAAAGTAATTATTTTAATATACTATTGGACATAGGTAATAATTTGTAGCTAATATTAATTAAAGCGCTAAATTGTAAAATCTTTGCTGCTGACCATAGTTGAACAATTGTTTTTTTTTTTAATAAATGATAATTTAAAGATAATTAATTAGTGTTTCTCATCATAAGTTAGTCGCATAATATGCGTTGAGTAAATTGTTAATATAAAACCCATTTATTCACATGTCATTAAATAATCTAGTTAGAGTGATAATCAAAAAATCAAAATCAAAATGAAACGTCAACTTTTTTTTACAACAATAAGAATTAATACGTTCTTAAGTAAGGTACCACTAATTAATCGTAGATAATTACTGTGGCGACAAGTTCAGGAGCGTATCCAAGTTGTATATGTAAGTTGGGATGGCCGGTGTAACGATTCCAATCAATAGCATCGATCCCAAAACCACTTTCCGCCAAAAACTCTTCCTCGCCAAAATTAAAATGACTACACCAAGACAGTACAGCTGCATGTCTGCCGCCAAGTACCTACGATAAAACAATAAGAAGAAATTAAGAATGTCATAAACGTCATAATCTATTGTCGCTGGTATATGAAAATGAAAATGAAAATGAAAAATATGTGTATTATTTTACAGTCTTTGCTTTTGCACAATGGCTAGGTCCGTCCGGGAAAGTACCACGAACTCACAGAAAGTACGTTTCTTCTGGTGAGTGAGGTGCCTGGGGCCCACTTTATTAAAAGGTGGCAACGCATCTGCAACCCTACGGGTGTTGCGAATGGGTCTTGGTTATCACTTAACAACAAGTAAGCAACGTGATAAATAGTTGACTGTGCATTAAGTCGTAACAAAAGTGTAGTTAGATTCAATAGCAAAAGACGTCCTAGATCAAAGTCATTTAAATGCGAATTTAGATATTTTTTTTCTGCTTTGTCAATAATATAATTACTATAATTGAAAATAAAATATCATGTTTCGTTGAACATGAAAATAAAATTTAAAATTCGAAATTATCTAATTTACCAATACCAACATTTTGTTTTGAGATGTTTAGTTCACTCCAAATAAGTAGTAGTATTTACTTCTAGATAATACGTAATTTTAGATAGATTTAATTTTGTTAAAAAAAAAATAAGTAGGTATTCACTTACGATACTGTGACTGAGATACTTCTGCGTTTCGTCTGATAAGTGAGGTAACCGGTGTCCACTTTATTAAAAGGTGATAACGCATCAGGAACCTTAAGGGTGTTGTAACAAGGATGGCGGATGTCACTTAACATCAGGTGAAGCGAGTTTCTGGCCATCTTCTCACATAAAACGAGCCAAGTTCGAGTTGCACTCGCGCACTAAGGGTTCCATACCATTGTATATAATAAATTAATTAGTGAGTACCTATAGGTGGCCTAGAAACCGCTTCGCGCTTCTTGTATGGGAGCCCCTTTAAATTTTTTGTTTTATTTTTTGTTTTTATTATTTGTTGTTATAGCGGCAACAAAATTACATTATCTGTGAAAATTCCAAATGTCAAACTATAACAATTCATTAGATATAGCCCGGTGACAGACGGACAAACAGACAGACAGGTCCGTTTTTACCCAACGGTACGAAACCCTAAGAAGAATCTTTCTATAAAACTCTTTTCTCCTGTTTATTATTTTCTCCTACATTCCTTAACTTGTTCTCAACTATTGATTTTCGAAAATTTAAACTGTCTTCTAATATACATGTTCTTTTTTATGTGAAAAGTTACCAAGCGATCAGAGGGTTCACCTGATGTTAAGTGAGTACCGCCTCCCATGGACATCCGCTAAACCCGAGGGTTGCAGATACTTGACAAACATTTGAAAAATTGGGCTCTGGCTACCTCACTCACCAGACTAATCGCGAAAGTATTATACTTCCACTTTACGTCGGTCTTCTGTGAGGTCGTGGTACTTACCCGGACGAGCCTGCCCATTCGACAACAGCCGAGTCTGCAGCGTTGCCCTACCACCGTGCCACAATAAAGTATTTTTAAGTACCTACCAACCGTGTGGCATGCAGTGCGAACCGTCTTTGTAGTTCGTCATATACATAAGGTTCCACAACCAGTATCGTCGACAATCATTTATCTCTTTCGTTTCATGAGCCTGAAAGCGCAATGGAAAATACTTTACAGTGTGTTTTAAAAACAAAATCACAATTCTTTATTCTAGAAAGTGTGTGTGTGTACTGTACACGCGTTAGAAGTTATACTTCTTTGGCGTAATAAGATAAAAATTTCAAAAAATTTATCACACGCATTATTCTACGTTTGTAAAATAAACGACACTAACAATAGAATAAAAGTATTTAATACATTGAATGTTTTATTATAACGCATGTCTAGTTAACTAAAGTTTATTTAAATATCACAAAATAAATATCGTGAATACAGTTGTTACTCACGCAAACATACATAGATGTATAGTTAACTTCAGGGTGTCGGTTTTTCGTGATGGTGTGCGCGCGCATCGTAAAAATTTACTGTCGTCATTCTCTCTAACGCGTCAAAAGAAGTATAACTTCAAAAAAGTATTTCGTAGATATGTGTAGTCCGCCAATCCGCAGTGGGGCCGCGTGGTGGACTACGCCCTGATACCCTATACAGAGGAGGCCTTTGCCCAGCAGTGGGACATGTGTAAGCTGACCCTTTACTTTACTTTTTTACTATATCGTTTATTCTCTTCACATATAAAAAAGAACATAAAAATGTCAGGTTCCGTCATGATTGACGAAAGAAATAATATTCAAGTGATAAAATTTAGTTTTTTGGTATAATATATATTTTAGTTATAATTCAGATTATATTTATATTGCTTACCTGCCACATTGGCCCAGTGCCCATAAATCTTAGCCATGTCGACGTGATAGCCAGAACAATAGCTAATGATGGTGTTAATCTAAAATTGAACAGAAAATCATCACAATCCTACAAAATAACAAAACTCGATGGAGTTTTTGGATTTTTATTTCCATAATAAAAAAATGTCTATGTTCTAGTGCCCGTTTTCTAGCTGTCTTATTTAAAGAGTCGAGTTATTATTTTAACCGCTCTAGTAAAATGTAACTTGGGCACATTATTTGACGATGAAAGGTTGTTATAGGTATAAAATAAATATTAATGTATAAATTGTTATAGGAATCAGTCTGGTAACACTGAATTTTCAAATACGCTTATTCCTATACAGTGTCTATCATGATAAATAATGTCTTCATGGATTTTCATGTCAAAAAACGCTAATTGCTATTCCCGCCACGATTCCCTGGCTGACACAATTCGGGAACTTTTTTCAATCAATATTCACAACAAAATCACGAAGTATGACAAACTGATGTATTTTACAAAGACACTGAGTATTGTAACAGTTTTTGCGGATTGCCTCGAATAACTGCTGTTTAATAAAAACATGATGCCTTCAATATTAGGGCTCTATGACATTTATTGTTACGATGGTAAGGACCCTTGTACGGAAGGGACTTTTTCATGAGTGTATGTACACAATTGTTCATTTATTAACATACCTTAACCACCTTTTAAATATATTAGATGGTATCTGCGTCCATTTAATTTCCTTGTTCTCGGCAGATCTCTCCATATTATAGCTTAGCAAACAACCCGACATAACAAAAAAATACTGTACCACGTACATCCCGTTTAGCAACATGTGACTCGGTAATAAATAATACGCCTGCAATGAATTTATATACATATAAATTTGTTTCAATGTAAATATATTCATACAAAGTATAAATTTCCGCTTTCCACAAGTCGCATCTTTTTCAGGGTTCCGTACCCAAAGCATAAATCGGGAGCCTATTACTAAGAATCCGCTGTCTGTCTGCGTGTCTGTCTGTCTGTCCGTCCGTCCGTCCGTCTATCACCAGGCTGTATCTCATGAACCGTGATAATTAGACGATTGACATTTTCACTCATGATATTTCAATTGCCGCTTTTACAATAACTAAAAAACAGAAAAGAAAAATATTTAAGTGGGGCTCCCATACAACAGGCATGATTTTTTTGATGTTTTTATTTTTCAGATAATGGTACGGAACCCTTCAGGCCCGAGTCCGACTCGCACTTTGCCGGTTTTTTGAATATCTACGCTCCACACGCGTCGTGACAGATATGTACGTACCTCTTCAATAAATCGAGTGTTGCTAGCGGATATTGTAAACGGGAAAATACAATGTCCCATTAGTATGAATATCATCATCGTGGCTCTGAAATATTCAATTATATATATTGTCGTGTATAAATTAAGTTTGTAAAATAGCAACGTACTATTTCTGAATCAAAATAAAACATTTAAAAAAAACGTTCACATATTGAAAAAATCCTTCTTTCTTTCTATAAGACTGCTGTTTGTTTCCTTTTCTTTTATGTGAAAAGTTGCCAAGGGAGCAGACGGTTCACCTGATGTTAAGTGAATACCGCCACCCAAGGACATGCTATCGAATTATCGTTGTAAAACGATATTCGAAATTGTTTGTATGCTGGAAAGAACATAACAATAGATGCGCCAAGCATTGCTTCAAATGCTAAATAACAATGTAGAAGGAAGGCGTTAAGATTTTCGTCGCTGTGGCTATCAGCCGTTTAGCTTAGTGGCTAAAGCGTCAGGCTGCGAATGCCGAAAACGTGGGTTCGATTCCCACAGCGGCGACAATCTTTTCGTATTTCTCTACGTGTTTTAATGTTCAATCTTAAGTGCAGAGATTAGCACTATAAAAAACTTTAATACTTTTCTTTTGTAAATAAATACTTATTACAATATTTTTCCAGTAGTAGAGATCTAACCCACACCCTCTGACGCAGGAGACAGGTGCACAGCCCAATTCGCCATTCATCAGGTCGTCAGAAAAGTACCAACATGTATAAATAAATCCGTGAAAACAGTTTTTTCCGTGTAAGTACTAACCTCAATCCATCAATACCTTTCAATCTTTCCACAGTTGGCTTAGTTCTGTTTTCACTTTCAATCAATCTAGACCAATTGCGTGCTATTGAAAAAGCCAAAATCAAATCTACACCTATGGAGAAAAAAAACCGTTTAATATACAGTATTACACAAGAACACCAAACGAAGGCTAGCTATTATTAATTTCACGCTAACATCCCAACTCACAATTTTAATTGAAAACAGTAAATCATTAAGATTTTTAGAAGACGTTAATTGTCCACCAATCCGCAGTGGGGCCGCGTGGTAGGCTATCCCTGGGTATCAAGGAGACATTTGCCCAGCAGTGGGACATCTATAAGCTATTACTATTAATATTACTGTTCATTTCAGTTAACCTCGTTGTGAATCGATAGGAAACAACTCCAATTTCAACAGAATACATAACTGAGGAGGTTAACAATTCGACTGTATTTTTTATGATTGTTATTGACTTGTTTCATTATGTATTGTTTTATGTAACAAACATAAAAAAATACAGTGGAATTAAGAACCTCGTCCTTTTTTTTAAGTCGGTTGAAAATATCTGAAACAGTTTTAACAGTTTTTTTTAACGTTATTTCGAAGGGTGTTATTTTCTACGCCATATATATTAGTATTGAAAAGTTTTATTTAATTTAGCAAAATATTTTCTCTTTCTTTCTACACACGATAAGATTATCTTCTCTCGTCAAGGTGATCAATTTATTTTATTCTTTACGGCTCGAGTATCTTGATGAGAAAAGATGCCTTTACTGCAAAAACTTGTTTCGTGGGAAATAAGATAACGACATTCAGTGCCTTAAGAATGCTGCCAACCGACTATGTTAAATATGATCGTATTTAATAATTAAAAATGAAAGATAAACAAAATTAAGAAATTGGGAAGTCATACCCTTATTTCGTTGTTTTTTCGGGAATTGCAAATCATAAAATGTAGCCGCAATATTAAGGGTAACAATGAATATACAAATCATCGCAACAAAAATATCCCATTCATCTAACGTTACATTTTTATCTGTGGGGTAACACATTGGATGCGTTGTCAGCCTAGCCTTGAGCCTGTATTGTTTCCATAAGGTATTATTTAGGCATCCCTCAAGGGCGTTGTGTCGGTCCCGTAAAGTTGCCTCTTTGCTTATGTTGCAACTTCTCGTAACACATATTCCGCGGTAAAGACTGCTGTAGTTGTGATGAGTTAATTTTCGCTCCGAATAATTCTGTTGAGCAAAAATAAATGTAGCTTATTAGTTCTTATGTAATAATTGAGAATAATAGAGATGTTCATTATTACCAACTTGATTATCTTTAAAACCGTTCTTCATAAACATAGTATACTGCTACAATTTCATTGAAATACGAAGGTAAATTTCACCACCTGAGCCATTACAACCTTGTAGGTCTAAGTTTGTTATAGGTCAGGTGGTAATCGGGCGGCCAATTTTCTTCTTCTGTGTGAAAAAAACTGAACAAAGGTAGCTAGGTATCACAAAGAATGCTGCACTCATAAATGAGAGGTTTGGTTTTTGTATTCTTGTTGTAAATTTGAAACGTCTTGATTTGAATTGAGTTTTGTTTTTAGGTGTGATAAGGCTGTATCTCAGAAATATTTTCACTGCGAAGAGAGAAATATATAGACATACGGGAAAGAAATACTTTCCCGTATGTCTATATAACCACTAGTGCTCGTTATAATAATTGTTAATATTCAAGTTCAGATATAGTTAAAATATTAGAATTAAAGTAATAACGTTAGAACTCTTATAATGCCTTCTCTATTATGGGTTTGAAAGAAAAATAAAACATTCACCCGAATTAAATTGAGCAGATCACTGGGTGTATCCGAGACTAATTCCAGTTCCATAGTGCAGTATAAAGGCTCCAAATCGTACATGCACGCATCGTAATCGTCCAGAAGCGAAATGGGTGGCATTCGTTCAAATTCTGTTCCTGTGAAAAAGATTAAAAATACTGTTTTTTCACTAAACCATTCAAGAGAAAGGCAGATTAATAACTTTTTGTGTCTTAATTACATTAATAAGTAGGGTTAAGAGGATAATATTAAAGCAAAACTTGACTTTGTCGCTGCCGTTGAAAGTTTTTGAAATCTTCTTGAAAACCGTAACATAACAAAATCACATACATTTTACCCGACTACGGTGGAGAGTGATAAGTTTGACTGGTATATGTGGATGATGTCCATATTATGTTTGTTGTCCGATTTGACAAATGAGGTAAATCTTTTGAAACGTCTTGATCGTCCGCAGGTTATACGTGATGTCATATGATATATGATGTCATATGTCACTGAATAATCTTGAACCAAAAATATTAATGATGACGTGTTGGATATCAAATGAAAGGGCCTTGTTAGCACATTTCTGACTGGTGACTTGATCTCAAGGATGATATAGGTATATTAATAATATTTAAAAGTCCGTGATTAGAATATATTGTGTAAATATATAGTATTGTGACAGGTGTTCACTTTGTGGCGACTCATTTGCTACTGTGTAGCACCGCTCTTATCTTTTACACCCTTACTCTCATCGGTCTAGCATTACCCTTTTATTGACAAATTTCTATAGCAACGAGTGACAATAAAAGATTATGTTTTTCTCAACATGGCTTGTTCTTTGTACTGCATCTTAATTATTCCCTCCTGCCGGCTCCCAAAACTTAATAGGTAGTCATTGAATAATTTGTACATAACAATTTCAGATGGGAATATTTTATTGTTAAGCTTTATGTACTTTTATGTAGAGTTTTAAGTAATTTTAAGGAATTTTTTCAGTAGTCGGGTTTTAGTTTTTGAACTTAATTTTTATATATGAAAATGTTTTTATATGTATACAAGTAGATGTGTACAAACAAAGACTACTATTGTACACTGGCAATGTACAACTTCTACGAATATGGAAAGAAAGAAAGAAAGGAGAAAGAAAGATGGCTGGCTGGTTCTACTATATTTAGCACATTAGATCTAGTAAAGGTCTACCAGCAGATTCCGGTAGCTGGTCCAGATGTTTGCAAAACGGCCATAATAACGCCATTTGGTCTTTTCGAGTTTCCCTATATGTCATTTGGGTTACGCAACGCTGGCCAAACCTTCCAGCGTTTCATCGATGAGATCTTGCGCGGACTAGACTTCGCTTTTCCCTACATTGACGATATTTTGGTATTCTCACGGGATGCTGAAGAGCACGCCAAACACCTGCGCATAATCCTGCAAAGACTGGTGGACTATGGCGTCGTTGTCAATGTGGATAAGTGCGTATTGGGGACATGTGAGGTAATCTTCCTAGGTTATAAGATAACCAAGGATGGTATCTGCCCACCTGAAGAGAAGATCGCTGCTCTCTGCGAGTTATCGCTTCCCAAAACAGCTCAAGGTTTGAGACGCTTCCTGGGGATGGTAAATTATTACCGCCAATTTCTTCCCAAAGCCGCCAAGCTCCAAGCTCCACTTGTGGATTTTTTAACAGTCAGCAACCTAAAAGGTTCAAAAGCTATGCCCTGGACAGCAGACTTGGAGCGTGCTTTCTACGAGTGTCGCGACAGTCTCTCAGAGGCCACCATGCTTGTACATAAGCAACGAAATGCTCGTTTAGGGTTGTACACGGACGCCTCCAGCACTCATGTCGGCGCTGCCTTACAGCAAAGGTCTGATCAAGGCTGGCAGCCGTTGGCATTCTTTAGCAAAAAGCTAACACAGAGCCAAAGTACATGGCCCGCGTATTACCGCGAACTTCTCGCAGTGTACGCGGCCGTACAGCATTTCCGGCATATACTAGAGGCACAACACGCGACAATCTACACGGACCACAAGCCGCTTCTTTATGCTTTCGTCCAACGCCGTGAAAAATTGCCCCCTGCTCAACTTAACCAACTCACGCTTATTTCCCAGTTTACAACTGATATCAAACATGTGAAGGGGGAAGACAACATCGTTACTGACACAATGTCCCGCATTGAGGCTATCACGCTCGATGACGATTTCGCAGCCCTGGCAAAAGCTCAGCAGACGGACGACGAACTTAAAACCGTAAAGGTCCATTCTTCTTTACAGTTAGAGCCAACCCTCATACCTGGATCCAACATTTCCGTTTTGTGTGATGTGTCAACAGGCAAACCTAGACCCTTTTTGCCAAAACAATATCGGTGAGCCGTCTTCGATCGCCTACATGGTCTCAGCCACCCCGGCGCACGCGCTTCCGCGCGCCTCATTAGCGACCGCAATGTTTGGCCAGGCATTGCTAAAGACTGCCGCTCCTGGGCACGCGAGTGTCTCGCCTGCCAGAGCAGCAAGGTAACGCGCCATGTCGTTTCACCGCTTGGCAACATTAGCACACCTTCAGGCAGATTCCGTCATGTTCACCTGGACATTATTGGACCGATGCCTTCTTCAAACGGATTCACTTATTGCCTAACAGCAGTAGACCGTTTCTCACGCTGGCCCGAAGTTTGGCCCATGTCGTCGATAACCGCAGTAGAAGTCGCTGATCAATTCACCCATGGCTGGATCGCTCGCTTTGGTGTACCGATCACTGTCACAACGGACCAGGGACGTCAATTTGAGTCCCAACTTTTCAACAGACTGATGGATTTAGTAGCCACAAAACGCGTTCGTACTACGAGCTATCATCCCCAAGCTAATGGGATGATAGAGCGTTTCCACCGCCATTTAAAGGCCGCTTTAATGTGTCACAAGAGTTCTTGGTACCATGCCCTACCTTTCGTTCTTCTCGGAATCAGGGCGGCACTAAAAAATGACATCAAAACGTCAGCTGCAGAAGTTTTGTATGGGGAACCGCTACGCCTACCAGGCGAGTTCCTGGTGGCTAGCAATTCCCCTCAGACCGTGGACGATGATTTTGTTGCACAGTTGCGAAAACGGATGGCAGAACTTCGCCCCGTTCCAGCATCACGTCACACGAATTCTAAAACTTTCGTTTTCAAGGACTTACCTGATGCTACTCACGTGTTCCTCCGCGAAGATTCCGTTCGACGCCCTCTACAGCCACCTTATACAGGCCCCTACAGAGTGTTGAAGAGATCTGAAAAGACACTTACCTTAGACATTTCTGGCCGAAGATCTGAGGTTAGCATCGACAGAACAAAACCTGCGTATATTGCACCTGACCCAGACGGCAATCCGTCCCCTAACAACTTGGCACCGGAGCCCCCAGTTCTTCCGACTCTTTCACCTCCTATTAGCCAAACGGCCGTGCCCATTAAAACGCCCGCACAGCCTGTAACAACCCGGTCAGGTCGCAAAGTTAAATTTAAAGATATTTTAGATTTATAAGTACTAGTCTTTACTACGTTATTTTTGTTAAAGCAGAGTTTTTTCAATTTTAAGTTTCCAATGTTTATTTTTTCGTTGTATAAATTAAAATCCCATTAGTTAAAAATTATCCTAAATAATGTTGCTTGTACTTTTATAATAACAGTGTATAATTATTTGATTGTTACATTTTATACTTGTTTTGCCTTCAATGTGTACTTGTTTTTCTCCGTATGGGGGGTGATGTGGCGACTCATTTGCTACTGTGTAGCACCGCTCTTATCTTTTACACCCTTACTCTCATCGGTCTAGCATTACCCTTTTATTGACAAATTTCTATAGCAACGAGTGACAATAAAAGATTATGTTTTTCTCAACACGGCTTGTTCTTTGTACTGCATCTTAATTATTCCCTCCTGCCGGCTCCCAAAACTTAATAGGTAGTCATTGAATAATTTGTACGTAACAATTTCAGATGGGAATATTTTATTGTTAAGCTTTATGTACTTTTATGTAGAGTTTTAAGTAATTTTAGGGAATTTTTTCAGTAGTCGGGTTTTAGTTTTTGAACTTAATTTTTATATATGAAAATGTTTTAATATGTATACGAGTAGATGTGTACAAACAAAGACTGCTATTGTACACTGGCAATGTACAACTTCTACGAATATGGAAAGAAAGAAAGAAAGGAGAAAGAAAGAAAATACATTTATTTACCAAAAATATGGCACATTTAGTTTAAAATAAAAAGATATTATAGAAAATATTATATTGTATGGTTTGATGTTCGTTTTGTGCAGTGACTTTAGTATATTATTTGAAAATACGGATTATCACGATATCACGCTCGGAACATATTCTGAAAGTTAGAAATATTAGTCCTACATTGGAGGTGTGCGAAAATTTTAACAGTATTTGTCTAGTACCTTACGTTGAACATTTAGACCTATTATCTAAGTAAATTACTTTTACTAACATACATCTGAGTATTAGAATAAATAACTCACTCTATTATGTTACCTTATAATGAAGCAAATATGTTAGTAAGAGAAGAAAAACAAATAAAATATAAATGACTCCACGCCTTTAAGAATATTCGTTACACTGACACGACAGTTAGAGATCGTTAAAAATCCACTGCATATAAAACACAATCACCATCAATTAGATCACTTACCATTAAGTCTGTATATAACTCCATACGTTTGATTTATTATAAAGATCAAGAAGAACAGACCACCACTCACCGCCCACGTCATTTTTAACATATAAACAGAGAAACTTATCACTCAAGAATTAGAAGAAGAAAATACATTACAAAAAAATACGAAATAAACGATAATCCTACAATTTCTAGGTGAAGACCACTCAACTACACTTTAACTTGTGCGCTCTTTACACTGCTATGAAAATAATATAAGACGCCGATTTGAACGGTGGACTGGCAGTGGTAAAGTTTTTGTGTCATAATTATTTCTTAATTAACCCTAACGGAGCGAAGAATTGGACAAAAGTTATATATTCTCACATTAGTAACATAATTGCATTTGATAGTAGTAGCGAGCGTTATCATGAATCTTGAGATACGGGGGCTGATAAAAAAAAAATTAAAACTTTGTTCTCATCAAAGTTGAATAAGAATACCG